AGTATGACAAGATATCCTTTTCCAGTCCTGTATCTGAAAAGGACCTGTACACTAGTGAAAACATAAATGTACTTGATATACTGTGAGGTTAGCAACAATTAGCATTACAGCTATATAAACATCTTAGAACCTTATTCATTTAGACATAGAGAGTTTAAACTTTTATTTATAATCAACTTAAGTATAAACAGTAATTTTGTAATTATGGGAATGTGGCACAGTAAGACCCTAAGAAAACTGGACAAGCCATCCATCAATGGGAAAACTGGAAATATTTTGGTCCTTGAAGCTGGGCTTTTTTTTAACCACTGAAGTGTTTTGTCTAACAAGTTTTCAAGTGTAAGGGGTCCTCACTTAGTTACCTAGTAATTGTTTTAGATGACTCACCCTAACAGTTGACCAAGAAAAACCTCTTAAATTATCGTACACAAGTCATAATAAATATTGTATTTATAAAATTAAATTTGCTATGGTAATCTGAGCAATGTATGTAATGCAACAACCACTGTTGATTCATATTATTTTGTCTTGAGACCCTGTATCACTTTGAATGTTCTTGTTTTGATTGGTTTATGTTTGTGGTACTGGTATGCTGCTACTGTTCTATTTCTTTGTTTGTTTTTCATTTACTACTCTCTTTAAAATAAAAAAAAAAACTAAATTTGGACATTATCATCATTACTAACAACCTTGATGGAAACATGTCACCAATATTTAAAATATCTTTATTTTTATTGACTGGCTTCAATTAATCTACTGTTAAGCAGTGTGAGCCTCATAGAACCATCACACTTTAAATCATATATAGTCTTTATGTTTTCAAACTGTAAGGCTTTTAGTTGCAGGTCCCGTGGGAGTTATCAGAAAGAGTCAAGAGGGTAAGAAAAGAGCTTCGAGGTTTTGTCTTTATACGCTTTTTAAAAATTGTACCTTTGGAAAAGGAAATCACCTTTTAACTTAACTATACATCACATATCAAGGAAACCAAAGGCCTTTCTTTTCCGCTCTTCCTTCTCATGTTCTTAGAGGCACAGTCTCCTCTACCCTCTAGGTCTCCACCTTTTGGTTATTGATAATTGCCCTCTTTTTATATTCAACCAAACTTTTGATTTAAAATTATTTTTTATAATTTTGGATATATTTTTTCTTTGGGTGTTAAAGACAAAGTCCAATAGAGAGGAGAGCTGCTACCTGGGAAGGACTAATCTCCAGCATGCCAAAGGTATCTTACAGTGAGTTACTTTGATTTAACCCAAAATAACTGATCTCACTCAGAATCATCTGGACCTCACCCAAGGACTCTCATTACCGATGAGAGTCAGGACTATTGCCCCACTAACCTTTCTGAGCAACAGGGAGCTTTTAGAAGGAACAGCCTTGGCTCCACCAAACCAACAACAAGCATGCATCTTTCTTTCAAAAAACTGCATCCTCCACAAGCTTTTTCTTGACATACTTGAATTTCCTAGTTCTGCCATTATCACTTTCTATTTAGCCTGGCAAAACTTTGTCATAAAACGTATTCTCATATCAAAAGTATATCTCTTATACTTATAGCCTGCTTTCTAAGTGGGATTTTCTCCATTCCACTTACAATAAACTTGTCATAACAAACTTGGCTATGGCTGCTTGGATTTTAAAGTATCCATTTTTTTTTTCTTGCTTTCTTTATTTCTCTTTTTGTCTGAGATTGTTACATTTTAAAATTTGACTGGCTGCCAACAGACTTCCAAGAAACTCTGTAACAGTGTTCTTAATTTAAAACAGCACAGAGCAGAGAAAAGAGCAGGTAACTCTGTAATTGTAGTTTAAGAATTTACAATGTGCAAGAAATGTCTTAAGCACATTAATTAAACAAAAATACCAACTTTAATTGGAAGCCAAAAGTAAATTTATCAATTAGCTAAGATTTGTAACCCTATGTGTCTCCTGCTCAAGGAAACTTCACTGAAGGGAAAGAGAAATTGACTCCTCTTTGGTCCCCTTTTTCATCTTTGGGGAAACAGAAGATTTTGAACATCATTTGACACTTTTAAATTTTCTCCTGAACTGAGGATAAGTCTTCCTTCCCTTGTGAGGCTCCAGGTTCTGTGCCAGAGACCAGGTCCTCCTCAGGTGACACGAGCTCCTCTTGAGGTGCAGCCACCAGTCCTGGGTTTTGGGGATTGCACACTGGGGGCAGGGACTCCAGAGTGCCTTGTGTGGAGGAAGAGACTGGAGATCAGTCCTTTTGTTTCTTATTACATCCTGTGGTTTTTAGAAGAAAGAGGACAATTGGTCCTTGTCACCAATACTGGCATAGTTCATCTCCTCCTTAGACCCCAGTCTTTTATCATTAACAAATTTAATGAACAATTGATATACTCAGTCCTCATCCATCTGAACTTTGGCCAGAAGACAGATGGGACAGTGATGAGGGCTTGTGGCCAGAAGAAACAATATTTTATCATCTGAACTTTCTTTTTATTTTTTATTTGTGGGTTGTTATCCTAAGTCCTTAACATCAGTCTGAGGGGACTACCGGGGGCATTTTGTTCCCTAAGTCCCTTGATGCCCTAACCTATCCCAATCCAGAGGTGCATTTATTTCCCATTCTATCTGTTCCACAATCCAAGGACTAATCTCCAGCATGCCAGAGGTATCTTATAGTGAGTTACTTTTATTTCACTCAAAATAACTGACCTCATTCAAAATCATCTGGACCTCATCTAAGGTTACTGGTTTCACCCAAGACCATCCCCCTGGCCACAATAACAATACTCAGTCACCGTCCTGATTTTTCTGACCTTGGTTCATGCACAACATTGCCTGGTCACCACCGTTTCTTGCCTCTGGGCCTCTTTTAACATTGTCCAGACATCTTTGCCTGGTCTGGAGATCCTCAATGTAAGTACTTGTCCTGGAAGCCCCTTGAAACAAGGCCATTGGACTCATCTTCTCCTAGTGAAAGTTTCCATGTCTCAGAGAGCCTCAGGGGCCCCAAAGCTGGGTTCCAAAAATGTCAGAAATGAGCCCCAACTCAAATTGTGGGTGCAGATAATAAAACACTTAGACATCAAGAAATCTCCACAAGGCATTTTACTTCTGCAGAAGAGGGCAAGCATGAAGCAGCAGGCATGCAGGGCAAAGGCGTGTTGCCCTTTTTATCCCTAATGCAAGAGAAGCAGCTGCCCTTTCAGTTCATTAAGTGAATTCAAAGGCTTACAGTCTGTAGCAGTTGTCTTGCTCAAGTGCATGGGGGTAGTGGGGGGTTGCACTGCTGAGTAAGTTAGGGGGTGTGTGGTGTGACTGAAAAATTCTTGGTTCTCATCATAAGGGAGAGGATGGTTAGAGAGGGATGTGTGGTTTGGAATGGACAATTTTTGGTTCTTTATCTTGGAAACAAGCTGTGTTCTAGGAAAAGGTACCTAGTCACCATTTCTTGGAGTTCAGGATAGTAAGGGGGGAACAGATAGTGAGTAGATGACTAGGTCATTTAAACCCAAAATGACTTGTTTTGACCTTGTGCTTTGACAAAATGATAGACTATTTTTCACAAAAGTTATTATAAAGCAAAGTAAGGGTTACTTAAACACAAGCACTACAAAACCTCAATGGTTAATCTAAGTAATAGTGGGGATGACAACTAGGTGGTTAATGGAGAGGTAGCATATATATAGCAGATGACTCATGCACTGGGTGAGGTAGAACAGGACGGCAGGAGAGTTTATCATGCTGCTCAGAGCAATGCAATTTTGAACTTATGAACTGTTTATTTCTGGAATTTTTTACTTAATATTTTGAGGTCATCCTGAACCTTGGGTAAATGTAATTGAAACAAAGTAAAACTATGGAGCCAGATATGCTAGTACACACCCATAATCCAAGCACTCTGGGAGGTTGCAACCGTAAATATCACACATTTGAGCCAAGCCTCAGCAACTTAACAACTGCAAAACTCTGTCTCAGCATAAAAATATTTTAAAGGGCCTGGTGATTTGGCTCAATGCAAAGGCCCTGGATTCAATCCCTAATACTGAAAAAATAAGTAAAATGGCATACCATAATCCTTTTAAAAGAAACAACAAGAGCAACAAAACCTAAGACAGAGAGTTAAAGTGGTTCAGTGTCACGCAGCCAATAACTATCAACATTAGAATTCAAACTGAAAAGGTTTGCGTTTGCATTTGTGCAGTTAATTTCTACAATCACCAAAACCTATCAGTCAGCATTTGTAAAGTTAATTTCTGTGAGTCAAGGTTGGGACAAGGTCATAGTCAAAGTGCTGACTAGCCTGAAATCATGACAAATCAATACAGCTATAGGATGACTCAAAGGTCAGTCAGACACTATCAGAACCAGAGATGTATTTGCCCTAAATGGTTTCTTAGAAACTCAATCGATGTCTACATAAATAAATTCACATAGAAAGGTAGTTTTCTTGAAGTCAGTTCAAAGAAAAACAGGAAAACTGATGACAGCCTTTGCCTGCTACTATAGTCAATCAGGTCCTTCATGGGAACCCTCACTGCACTAGTTTGCTGTTCTGTGTTCTGTCTCCCACTAGAACTGTTTATTCATCTCATTACTTCCTTACCACCTGGGTCAGTCTATTGTTGCACTCAGCTCACAACACCAGATGTAGATATAAATCTAGCCTTGTTAAATACACAATCACAACGTCTAATCACTACGTAATACTTGACAACATTCAAGGCAATTGTTAAAGCATTAATTTAAAACGTCCATGAAGTCTGTTGTGAAAGATGTCTTTATCCTCTGGTATTAATGCCTGAAGTGGATTGCACAATGCTGCCTCTTGTTGGGAGCCACGGAAACTGGAAAAGAATTACACGTGCAGGATGAAGCCAGCCTGAGAACACGGGAGCCCCTCAGAGTAAACAAGCCATTGTAACTTGTTAATTGGTTGCTGGGCAGCAGGGCGGAAATTAACCAACCTCTCCAGGGTATAAATAAGTGCTCTACTGTTTCTTGGCAGTCCTCTTGCTCATCAGGCAAGAGGTAACTCCACCTGACCGGGGCTAGCCTGTCTTTATTTTCTAAATCCTCTCGCCGTTTTCTCCCGGGGACCATAGAGAGACCACCGACTCCCACAGCCTCTAAAAGCTTGGAACCCCTGACTTTGAATGAATGAAGTCCTGAAACACCTAGAGGTACAATAATGTTGCCTTGTCATTCTTAACCCCTTTCAGTTTTCTGTCATTAGAATTTAGCTTTTATAAGAAGAAGTAGTTGGGATTTAACTGCTGTCCATAGCCATCTGATTTTTTCATGGTAATGTGCCTCACACCTGTCAAGAAGGACAGTACTTTAAAGTGTATGGATAGTTTAAAATTGGCACAATTCATTCTTTATGACCATTGGTCTTGATCTCTGCTGCTGTCTAATAGATACTGTCAGTTCTAAAAGCTGATGAAATCTCCAAAACTCAAAGAGGGAAACAGTGTATTGTGTACATACTAGAAGCTGGATATTCTCCAGGGCAATCTAAAATTATGAATTTCTTTTATTTTATAACACTGAGTGACATAAAGGATGAAGATAAGAACATTACCCAATAGCCAAAGATAGCCAGAGTTGTCAAATATGTCAAGATATTCCATATCAGAACAAACATGCATCAGAGTTCATTTCCTTCCTTTTCTTACCTAAAAACAGGCTGAGAATGTTGTTCTTATTACAAGGTTCGAAAGATTTTTATATACCTTATTTTCATAGATTTAAGGGGTTTGTCAGCTGCACTTTTTAATTTGAATGGTTAAACCTCCCTTACATTCTCACACTTATGTGTTCATGTATCCCTGTCTGCCTAGCGTATTCATTTGAATGTATCCCTGTCTGCCTAGCGTATTCAGTCAGTCTGACAACTGACTGCCAGGTTTTATAAGGTTATGGCAAGAGTGTTAAATCTCAGTTGTTTTAGCCCTGGGATGCATGGAGTACAGAGCTGTGTGGTCAGTGAGACACAGCAGTTCTGGTGAGGCGAGTACCTCTGCAGACACCCAGCATACTGTAGAGCCAAGGTTAAGAAAAAGATGAAAATCAGCTTTAGTCTCAAAAGTCTCTTTTATCACCCGAAGGGGATTGAGCAGAATATATAAACATGAAGCAACCCTGTTGTGCCATCCTTTCTATGTGGAGTGAGGGGCCTAATTAAAAGAGTAGGTTTCACTTAGGCTGAAGAGTAGTTAAGCAGGAAAAACACATGTGGTTCCCATCTGAGTTCTTGTCCTTACTCTAAGCGTTCAAAGACAAAGGACTAAAGCTCATTCTTTCCACGGATTCCTGCACTTTTTAAAATTTTATTCTCCTTTTTAAGCCTCGGGACCACACAGGGCTGCTGGTTGCCAAAGGCTCCTACTGACTTTGAAAAGGCAACACAGTGCTGGCCTAGGTCCTCTGTTCCCTTATAATTAGGTTGATGCTCAACATAATTTGAGGACAATGTCTCCACAAATGCCTTACTAGAGGGTGCTCGGAGAATTCTACTGCTTCCCTACTTTACTATATTTCTTACCTTTTCCACTCTGTAAGCACAATCCCAGATCTCCTCCTAATAAACAAAAGGCCGCCCATGCCGGAAATTACTACACTAGGTGGCAGACAGCAAAGAGCGGGACTGGGCTGAGGAGAGGCTGAGGGGTTGGACATTTGCTGGATATGTAAAGAAACGTGATCTTGACTGCTTAGGAGAATTTGGAGATTTTTTAAAAGGAAAAAGAATACAATGTAGTATTGATTTTTCTCTAATCTAGATAGGTTCTACCTGATAAAGTAGAGGCATTGGGTGCACACATACATGAGCACTCACAAACACATTCACAGATACACACACACACACATTACTACCACCTTCAAATAAACCCTGTGCTTTCCTTCTGAAAAATAGGATTCATAAAACAATGATAAACAAATTACTTATCGTATATCTCTGAACCCACTTAAACATAAATATCACATATTAAACTGCATTATTCCATATTTATCTGTTTTGCTTTGTAGAAGTTTTACATATTTCTTTTTTTAAGGTGATGAGATAGCTTAATGATAAAAACATTGCTTTTGTTTGCAGCTTTGACTGGCTTACACTATTGGAAGTTTCCTCAAAATTTAGAAAAGCTATCTTTCCATCTAAAAGACAAGTACTGGAATGGTCTTGAAGGTAAGGTAAGTCTTTTGTACCTGAGGGCTGCTTTTAGATAAGTGAGTGTCCTTTAACTGTATCTGCAGGGTTCCTGTACTTCCAAGTGCACAGCTTGCAATCCCCACTGGCTTTTTACTACTACGCCCAGGCCATTGGGTGTGGCCTCAGTGTTCACTGTTTGTAACTGCCAAGCACTTGCGCTTTACCCTTGACCTTGCCGTAATCCTTCGATGAGCAGTGCTCTTAAAAACCGTCTCACTGAAATCTTCCAGTCTGCCTCCATCCTTGGCACCTGTGCTGAAAGTGTCAGTGATAAGGACAGCGGAAGCTCGTTGTGGTCAGTCACCACAAACACGTTTCAGTTGGCCATTGAAAGTACACACATATCACTGATTTTGTGAAGTCCTGAGTAATGTTCAGATGAGGTTTTCTGCAAATGGCTCTTCTCTTTATTACAGTTTCTCATCCTTATGTCTTCCTCACCGTGCCAGAATAACTTGCAATACCAGCAACAAGAGAAACAACAGTAATGCCTACATTTGCAGAATACCCACTATGTACACTTTTTATGATTCTGCCTGCTCACTACTACAAAGTCATGAAGAGCATTAATATGATTGGGCAACTTCTGACTTATATAAGGTAGAAATAGTTTTTGCACGTTTACTGTGGACCATTGTATAAACTTCTTATTGTTTGTATTTTAAAATTATTTCCCTGCAGTTTCTCACCCCTTCTGCAATATCCTTCTGCTGATTTGGTCTATCAGTAGATTTGGACTTCAGTGTCATCCTTACATTCAAAGCCATATAGTGTACTAAAACTTTGAAATAACAATCTATAATTGGTAGTATTTCTGATCTTCTCTTAATCATAACATAGATATTCCCAGAATCTGTGCATTCATTATTAGGACCACCACAATCTTGCTATAATTATTATATCTTAATTTCATTCTTTTTATGCATACTTTGTATCACTTGTTTATAGTGATTATGTTCCATTCAGCTGAAACAGGTACTCAAGATAATCACTTCAAAGGGAGAATTTATTTTGATTCACAGTCTCAAAGGTTTCAGTACATGGCTTTTTAGCTCCGTTTTTCTGAGGCAAAACATCATAGCAGGGAAAAATTATACAACACATTACCTGAGCAACAGTGGCAGCCAGCAAGCACAGGAGGTGAGGAGGGCCAGGGTCGTAATACCCACTTTGAGAGAGAATCCCCAATGATCTAAATTCTTTCCACTAAGCCTCACTTTCTAAAGATTCCAGCCACCTCTGAACAGCACCATAGTTATCCAGCCATTAGCATATGGGAACTAGGGGAATTTTTAAGAGCCAAATTGTAGCAGAATATATTAACGCATTTTTATAACATATATGTCTAATTTATTTCACTTAAGAGTATTGGCTTTTTTTTTTTTTTCTTTTTCTTTCTTTTCCTTTTCTTCCTTTTTTATTTTTCTTTTTTTTTGACCATTTTTTTCTTTTTTCTAATATCTTTTATACACTTTGTTCCTTATTTACACATTTGGTATCTCAGACCAGAGAAATTATGTGGTATTTACACGTGTGTGTTCAATTTATTTCACTTAGGAGAATATAATGGTACATACATTTACTTAGAAATGTTTCAAGTTTATCTTTCTTTATGGCTGAGTAGTACTTATTTTGGCGAAAACTATATCTTTCTTTTTATTTTAAAGAGAGTAGTACATGAGAAACAAACAAACAAAAAAATAGAACAGTAGGAGCATACCAGTATTACGAACATAAACAAATCAAAGCAAGAACAGTCTAATTAATACAGGATCTCAAGACAAATTAATACAAATCAACAGTGGTTGTTACATTGCATATCTGTATCCTCAACTACATTGCTCAGATTATCAGATGTAGGAATGAAAGATTGCTCAAACCATTAAAGACAATAAGAAAATAATTCTTCAATAAAACATTAGAGATAATACAGAGTTCCACTGGACAAGATGGTAGGAGTTCACCATTATAATTTCACTGCATATTGTTACCTTCAAATCAGTTGCTCAGACCACCAGACACAACCATGCAAAGTCAATCAGAACGTAAAAAACTGTGAGCATTTCAATACACCATCAGAAAACAACAATGCAGTCATCGCAGATATTCATATATATATTTATGTTTTGCCTTCCTTTTTTCTTTTGTCTTCTTTCCCTCATCCCAGTCATTCTTTCCTTTGAGCAATTTCTTTCCCTTTCCTATCATCTGTTGTACGTCTTGAATTTTACTTAGGCTTTTAGGTTCCTACACCAAGGAGACAATAATGATGTTTTACATGTGGGTCCAATTTATTTCACTTATGAGTATGGTCTTTAGTTGCATCCATTTACCTACAAAAGTTTCAAGTTTTATCTTTTTTAATAGCTGAGTAATATTCCATTGTATAAAAATACTACAACTTTTTTATCCATTTCTCAGTGGATGGGCATCTGGTTTGTTTCCAAGATTTAGCTATAACAAATTGTTCTGCTATAAATGTGTGTGCACATATATCACTGTGATGTGATGCTTTCAAATCTTCTAGGAAGATACCCAAAAGAGGAAGATCTGAGTCAAATGGAGTCTCTTGTCCAGATTTAAGGAATCTCCTTACTGATTTCAGCAGTGGTTGCACTAGTCCACACTCCCACCAACAGTGGAAACAGGTTCCTTCATCCCCAAAGCTGATCCAGCACTTGTTCTTAGTTGATATTTTCATAATAGAAATCCTTTCTGAGATGAGATAGGATCTCAGTGTTTTATTTATTTATTTTTTTTTTTTTGGATCTCAGTGTTTTAATTTTGAATGACCAGTGATGTCGAACGTTTTTTCAGGCATTTATTTACTATTTGCATTTCTTCCTCTGAGAAGTGGGTATTGATCTCAGATGCCCTTTTTTGGACCTAGTCTTTAAATTTGGAGAGTCTGATATTTTTCAGTTCTTTATATGTTATAGATATTTGTCCTTAGTCTGAGGAACCATTGGCTAGAATTTTTCCTCACTCTGTGGGTTGATTTTTCACTCAACTGGTGATTTTTTTGCTGTGCAAAAGCTTTTTAGTAGGAGATGCCAATTGTTGATTCTTTGTACTATTTCCCATGTGTTGGGGGTTTTGTTCATGAAATCTTTGCCTGCACTTGTGTCTTCAAAAGTTCTCCCTATCCTCTATTCCAGCAGAGTTAGAGCTTCTGTTTTAATATTTATATCTTTAATCTATTTCAGTTTTAGTTCAGTGCATGGTGATATACATGAATCTAGTTTTAGTCTTTGACCTGTGGAAAGCTGTGTTATTGTTCTCTGTACTGCTTAGTTTATATATTTGTCTTTGTTATTTTCTTTTTTTAATGAAAAACAAAATTTATATGTATATTTAAGGTTAGCCGGCATAGGTTTATTGCTGATGTCTGTGTTTTATTGAAAGGAGCAGTCAATGACTAAAATTTTCTTTTTTCTTGACCAATTTTTCCTGCTTGAATTTGATAATCAGAATGACTGATCTGAAAATAACAATATGCAGTATAAGAACCATTGTTGAACTCATACCATCTTGTTTGGTGAAGATCTGCATCGTTTCCAATTTCTTTTATTACTTGTTACTGTCTTTGATTGTTTGATCTATCATATTCTTGTGTCTGGTGGACTACGCAATTTCATTGAAGATAACAATATGTAATGTAGCAACCACTGTTAATTCTTATCATTTTGTTTTGAGGTCATGTATCATTTTTGTTTTTGTGTTGTTTTAATTTTGTCTCCATTGTTGTTTTGTTAGTTTTATTAATTTTAGAAATAAGATTATATTTCTTCCTGTGCACATGCTTGACTCTTTTGTCAAAGATAAGGTAGTTAAGTGTGTTTGGGGTTATTTCTGCCTCTTCTAATCTGTTCCATTGATGATCTGGTCTTTTTTTTTTTTTTTTTCAGTAACATGCTGTTTTTATCACAGTAGCTTCGTAGTATAATTTCAAGTCAGGGATTGTGATCCCTCCTGCCTTGTCATTATTGCCTAGGATGTTTTTTGCTATTCTAGGTGTCTCCAGTTCCAAGTGAATTTAGGTGTGTTTTCTCTCATTCTGTGAAGTATGCTATTGGTATTTGATTGAGACTGCCTTAAATCTGTATAACAATTTAAGGAGTATGACCCTTTTTACTTTATTGGCTCTTGTTACCCATGAGCAAGGGATACCTTTTCCTTTTCTGATACACTCTTTGATCTCCTTTTTCATAGTAGTATAAGTTTCAATATATAGAGCTTTTACTTTCTTTATTAGATTGATTCCTTCATTTTTTTGGATGCCATTGTGAAAGTATGGTTCTCCTAATTTTTCTCCCAGTGCACTTGCTGTTAGTATACAGAAATATTTTTGAGTTTTGAGTTTTTGCTTTGTATCCATCTATGCTACTGAATTCATTTATTAAATTCTATAAGTCTTTTGGTGGAGTTTAAGAATCTTTTATGTACAGTACCAGGTTATCTGCAAATAATGATAATTTAACTTCTTCCTTTTCTACCCTTATTCCTTTTTCTTCTTTTTCATGTTTAATTGTTCTGGCTAATGTTTCCAGACTATGTTGAATAGCAGTGGTGATAGTGGGCATTCATGTCTTGCTCCTGATTTTCAAGTGAAAGCTTTCAATTTTAAAGGGAAAGCTTTCAATTTCAGTTTAGTATGATATTGGCTCTTGGTTTCTTATAGATGGCCTTTATCAGTTTGAGAGAAAGACCTTCTATTCTAATTTTGTGTAGGATTTTTACTATGAATGGGTTTTGGATATTTCAGATTCTTTTTCTGCTTCTATTGAGATGATCACACGATATTTGTCTTTGGATTTGTTGATAGGGTATATTATATTTATTGAATTAAGTTGAATAATCTTTGCTTCCCTGAGATGATCCTACTTGATCATGGTGAACAATCTTCTTGATGGCTTGCTGCATTTTGTTTGCCAGTGTCTAATTGAGGGTTTTTGCATTGGTGTTCATTAGCAAGATTGACCTGTAGTTCTCTTTCTTGGTTGGGTGCTTCTCTTGTTTTATTACCAGGGTAATACTTGCTCCCAGGAATGACTTTCGGAGTATTGCTTCTTTTTCAGTTTCATTAAAGAATGTCATCATTAGTGGTATTATATCTTCTCTAAATTTTTGGTAGAATTTGGCAGTGAACCCATTAGGACCTATGTTTGTCTTTTTTGGTAACTTTTTATTACATTTTTAATTTCATTGACTGATATTGAGTTATTTGTAATTTTTATACCTTCTTAATTCAATTTTGTCAATTCATATATATCTGGGATTTCTCTATTCTGTATTTTCTATCTTATTAGAGAATAGGTTCTCAAACTAAGTATAGATGATCTTCACAATTTCCATAGCATCTATCATGATTTCACACTTTTCATTCTTAATTGCATCAATATGAGTCTTTTCTTTCTTTTTCTGATAAGGTTGGTGAAGGGTTTGTCAATTTTCTTTAATCTTTCAAAGAACAAACTTAAATTCTTTGATTCTTTGTATTGCTTCTTAGTCCCTATTGCATTGATTTCTGCTCTTATCTTTTAATTTCCTCGCTTTTCTGAGTTTTAGGTTTGAATTGCTGTTTTTCCAGAAGTTTGAAATTCAACATTAGATTGTTTATTCGAGCTCATTCTATTTTTCTGGTGTGAGAGTTCACTACTATAAATTTTCTTCCTACGACTCCTTTTGTTGTGTGCCATAAATTCCCGTATATTGTATCAGTATTATCATTTAATTGTAGATACTATTAAATTTTTTCTTCAATTCATCTGTGATCCATTGATTGTTCAGGAGGGTGTTATTTAATTTTCGATGTTTATGGAGCTTTTGCAATTTCTTTGGTCATTAATTTCCAAATTCATTGCTATATGGTCAGAGGATATGCGTGGTATAATATCAATTCATTTGCATTTACTTGAGCATGTTCTATGGGGTAGTATGTGGTCTATTTTGGAGAATGTCCCATGTATAGCTGAGAAGAATGGGTATTCTAATGTGGACTGGAACATTCTGTTGGCATCTGCTAAGTCGATTGTTCACAGGTTTGGTTCAGATCTGTTATTTCTTTGTTAATTTTTTGGTCTAGTTGATCTATTTGTGACAGTGGGGTATTGAGGTCACCCACTACAACTGTGCTGGTGCTTATTTGATTTTTCATGTCCATTAATATTGGTTTTATGTAGTTGAGTGTACCACTATTTGGTGCATACATATTTATGATTGTTATCTCATTTTCTTTGAATTTTCCCTTAACAGTTCTGTAGCAATCAGTTTTGTCTCTTTTGATCAGTCTTTCTTGAAGTTCACATTGCTTGCAAATGGAATAGCAGCTTCTGCTTTTTTCTGTTTTTACCAGAAGGAGTATTGTTTTCCATTCTTTGACCTTTAATCAATGAATTTTTTTAGTTAGATATGTTTCTTGAATGTAGCATACTTTTGGATCTTACTTCTTAATCCACTCTGCCAGTCTGTTTCTTTGGATTAGTGAATTGAGACTATTTACACTGATGGTTGTAATTGATATGTGCTGGCTTATCCTTCACATATTATATTCCTATTGTTGGTACCCTGTCTTTCACCATTGTTTAATTGTTTGCCTTGGCTGATGGTTTGTATCTATTGGTGTTCTTGGAATTGTGATTTTCCTTATCTTTTTCTAAACTATCTTTCAGAGAATTTTCGGTATTACTTCTTAATCCACTCTGCCAGTCTGTTTCTTTGGATTAGTGAATTGAGACTATTTACACTGATGGTCATAATTGATATGTGCTGGCTTATCCTTCACATATTATATTCCTATTGTTGGTACTCTGTCTTTAACCATTGTTTAATTGTTTGCCTTGGCTGATGGCTTGTATCTATTGGTGTTCTTGGAATTGTGATCTTCCTTATCTTTTTCTAAACTATCTTTCAGAGAATTTTGGGAGCTATTTTGGTGTCACGAATCTCTTCAGTTGTTCTTCATGATGAAAGTAAAGATACTTCTCCATTGATTTTGAATAATAATTTTTCAGGGTACATTCACCTAGGTTGGAGCTTGTTTTCTTTTAGAACTTGAAATACTGCACTCCAAGCTCTCCTTGTCTTGAGGTTTGTGCTGAGAAGTCTGTTGTAATTCTATAGAGGGTTTTCCTCTGTAGGTGGTTTGTTTCTTTTCTCTAATCTCTTTCAATATTCTGTCCTTGTGCTAGGTTTCTGGAATCTTGATTATTATATGCCATGGTGTAGAATGTTTTTGGTCATGTCTACTTGGATTTTATATATATATTTCTTTATTTATGTTGGGAATTTTCTTAACTCATTTTTATGATCTCCACTTTAACTTGTTTCCCACACATTTCACTTCATCAATTCTTCTTTAAGAAATGAACCTATTAATTTTCTTGTGAATTTCACTGAGAAGTGAAATGTATAAGGCTTTACATGTTTGGAAATGGTTATTCAAATTCCACTTCTTAAGAGTTATTTGAATGTAATAAATTTTAAGTAAGTAGTTATTTCTACTTAGTGTTTTGAGAATATTATGCATTATGTGTTGGCCTCAGCAGTGGGAGGTTAAGAGGTGCATTATCAGCCCAGGGTTTTGTTTGTGATCTATCTCCCTGCTTCTGTAGCTTTTGAGATACTTTCCCTTATCTTGAAGCCCTTACAAAGTATCTGCATATGTATTTATTTTATTTATCTTGCTTAGCATTCAAATTGCATTTTCAACATGAAGACTCATTTGCTTCTTGTGGAAGATTTGCAATCTTTTTTTTGGTTCAAGTATTGCCTATTTACAATTCATTCTAGCATCATCTTTTATGGTACCTTCTAATATCCACAACATCAGAAGTCAGCAAACTTTCTCTGGACCAAATAATATATTTTTTAGGTATTGCAATGCGTATAGGCTCCCCCATAACTATTCAACTGCACTCAATTGTACCACAAAAGTGGTAATAAGCTATATATGGATAGGCATAGTTGTGTTCAAATAAAATTGTTTTTACAGAACCAGGCAACAAGCTGGTGGTGACTCAGAAGAAGAAAATTCCTTCATGAGATGAATGCTAAAAAATTGTCATCTATATTGCATGTCTCTGAGGACTCTTTCATCTTATTTTAATTTTTTAGTTTTTACTCTGCATTCTTCATGATTCCTTCCACAGATTCTCCCCATTCATTAATTTGCTGTCCATCTTTACTCTGTTAAGAAATACTTTATCTATTGTTGCCTTTTATTTCAGTAAATATAATCTTTTTTATTACAACAATTTCTCAGGCTTTTTGCATAGCTATTCTATTTTATTTAATGTCTATACCTTTGTTTATTTTATAGTTTTGTTTGCTTAGATATTTGTCCTAAATCCATATACAAATATTGTTCCAGTTAATGATTGTTTTGCTGCAGTTCTAGAATCAATTTTCTTCAAGATTTGAACTTTTGTTTATTGGCCCATTTGTTGTTTCTTCTTCTCCCTATAAAGATACTCTTGCAGCATAGTTCCTTAGCAACTTCCCTTTACCTTTGGGAGTTGCTGACTATGGAGATATTTGAGTATAGAAAGTCTTGTCGTATAACGCGGATATAATTGTTCCTGATGACCCTGGAATGCCGAAGCAAGCACCATCACTATAGTTTCCATCTCTCACATAGTGATTTCAATCCCGCCCCATCCATCACTGATTGAACTTCTGGTGACTATTACCTGCTATAGGAGTCCACCAGAAACTCTAATCCTCAGTCATTTCTGTCTCATGATTTTTATTCTTTGTAATTTTTACCTTATGCTTGAACTCCAGTTTTTCATATTTTAAACTTTTTTTAATTTTTAAAGTTTATAGCAAGTAACTCATTCTTTGACATGAACCCTAGTTGAGTATTACTCTTAACATAGACAAAGCTAAAGTTAAAAGATATTCATATATCTTTTCCTTTGCATTGAGCTATTGACCAAGCAGTGATACAAACTTCACTGCTTAGCTTTGCTCTTCTAACTTGCTATAATAGTTATGGAGATGATCAAATTCTTTGTCTATTTCTTTACTTGCTTGCATATTTGTCCCCAAAGAAACTCTGTCATCAATAAAAAGTATATATAACATATTTCTTTATTCCTGAACAAACACGGTGTATCCCACCTGACTCTCACTAAGGCATCATGTCTTCCAGGTGGCAGTGGCTGATGATGTGACCCTGAAGCAAAAGACCTTGAGTCTCACAGATTTCTGGACAGGAAACAAAGACTTCCTGCGCTGCATATGAGCTGATAATTTGTTGGCATAAATGCATCAGGCCACAATGCCAAAAAGACATCTTGCAAAATATTGGACATAATTTTGGGAAGAACTGTTAAGATTTATAAGTTTCTATTTTGAAAGCAATCATAAATTCCAGAGTTAGAGTTTATTCACAATTTACAAAAATAATTTTAATTGTATAGAGCAAGGCTATTAAAATTTTAGGGTTCTTAATTTTCTATGAATTCTAGCTATGACAATTCAAAGATTTCAAGAAATTTAACAGAAGTCACTTGTTAGTGGTAGAACTTGAAGCAGATTCTAAGATCCTGGTTTTAGTATATAAGTTTTGAGCAAAGAAAATGTAAGTCAGTATTCACCTAAATCTTGCATGGACTGAATCATTTAATTGTTTGGGCAAAACATGGTACTATGGGTAAAAATAAACTGTATTTCAGAAAAGAAGAGCTAAGTTTGATACAGGTAAGTATATTTCATCTGCTAGTTTGGGTGGACTTTATCCTCATAAAATGTGGTCTAGTTAGAAGTAATAAATTTTGTTTAGGCTATATTTTTTAACAAGACTCTTTATAGTGAAAATCATTCATCCAAACCTCAAAATCTTGATTTTAATTTGGATCAGCCTGAACAGTTTATCTCTTTCAAACAATTCCTCAAGGGTCATAACTTAACATTTTGAAAAAGTAAGTGGGGAATAACTGAGAATGCTTGAACTCATACTCTAAAAAGAACTGCATGGTTTATTGCACCATCAGTTAAAACATAAATATGTTCCCCAAACCAAAAATAATCTAAAATATGGTTGCAATATTAATTATAATCCTTTCTCTTTAATAAATCAAAATTTTCCTCATTCTGTAGTTAATAAAATTGCCTGTTTTACCCCCCTGAGGTTCAGCAAGTCTACTGCACTCTTTTGCAGTGCAGTATTTGCTGTCCTGTCTTAGTGTCCTTTGATGGTTACAATCCAATTCATTCTACACAACAATGGCCATTAAATGATATAATACATTAATCTATGCACACATTCTACAAGCTTGTTGGACAACCATGTGTGGAGCAATTTTTTCATGACAATATAACAGAAAGTCAAATAAATTCTTGCTTTCATGAGACTTACACTCCAGAGGGAACAGAATATTTGAACAGATATCAATAGAATATCCTGTGTCTTCCAAGCCTTGTGCTGGAAACAAACATGAATAAAAATGAAAGTATGTGAAAATTTAATAAAATACCTTTTCCTAAAAATTAAAAATAAATAAATAGGCTTAAAAGGATTGAAAAAGAATACTTTCAGTTACTTTCCTGGTACTGGTTTGGGGAAGACTAATAATGATCTCAATGAAACAGAATGGTAACAGTAATGTTTTGACTGTAAACTACCTTCCTCCATCCCCAGCTCCCCAGCACAATCACTGGAAGCTTCATTTTAATTTCCGTCAAGAATCTGAATGATTTAAATGCTTATTCTAACATTTGCTCTATCTCCTTTCATCCAAGGATCCTCCGCCCTGTACTGACCATCCCGAAGCTTTTATAGAAGGTATTTCTGAGTCATTACCTTCACTACTTCAATACCAGCTCAACACAATTATATTATAGGTAATCAGGACAATTTCTTTATGTTTTCTTCAATTTCTCTCTCTGGAGAACCTTAGTAAAATTGTACTTGGATCACATGAACATAGATAAAATCATATCTTCTACAACTAATCAGTGACTATAAAATAAAGAGAACATAGACACTGAATGAGTCAGCTTATGTAGCTTTGACAAAATAGTTGGCATAAAAAAACTTAAAAGGAAGTAGGGTTTATTTTTGCTGACAATTTCAGATTTCAGCCCATGCTTATTTGGGTTTGTTGCTTCTAGGCTTATATTCCAGGCAGAAACATCATGGCTGAATGGCATGTCAGAGGAAAGATGTCCATTTCACAGCAGCAACAAAGCAGAGAGAAGGAGAAAGAGCTAGAGAGGAAAGGATGGGGAACCGCTGGTAGTTCTCAAGATTATGCCCCATGAAACATTCCCTTTAAGTAGGCCCCTCCTCTTAAACTTTCATCACTTCCCAATAAAGCCATCAAACTATGATTTCATCAGTGGACTCAGCCCTGATTAAATTGGAGCCCTCATGATCTCATCACTTCCAAAGGGGCCATGGTCAAAAAGTATATGCATTCTCTAAAGTACTATCTAATAAGGAAGAAATATATCCCTGTAGCAAAGACTCTTAAGATATTTGTGGTCAATCCTGAGTTATTGTCATGTTGTAGATGGCAGCCATTTATTTATGAATAGATACTTTTATTTAACTATTTTTTTGTCTTTTTGAGACAAGGTCTCACTATGCAGTTCAGGCTGGTCTTGAACTTACTTTGTAGCCCAGGCTGGCCTTGAACTAACAAAGACACACCTGCCTCAGCTTCCCAAGTGCTGGGATTACCAGAGTGTGCTACCATGCCCTGCTCTTTAAGTATTTGTTATAGAAGTTGTAGTATTTAATCCTAAGAAATTTTTTTTCAATTTTTACTAGAGAAAGAAATTTCATGAAATTTTAAAAAAATCATTATTTTCTCTTGATCTTTTCCAGAAAAAAGTAAATGTAAATGCAGTTGTCATGATGAGGAGAGGATTGTGTAAAGTTTAACTGTGAAAACAATTGATATAATGCATCAGTGGAAATGTTTGGGGATAGTAGCCCCAAGGACAATGTTTAAGATGAGAGGAGAGTCAAGGATGGAACAAGACATGAAAATGCTGCTTTAGCTTGTCAGCTTCTGTCAGATCTTAACCACATGCTGTCATTTCTAAGAATATGTATGAAAAATGACTTGAAGTATCCAACAAGTAAGACATACTTTGTAGAATTAATGATAATTACAAACTACAAGAAAGGATCTATCTAAATATAATACAAAATGTCAGGAAGGAGAGAAATCTGGACTTGGAATGATGCTTACATTTTTAAGCACTGTTTAACAGACTAAGTCTCTGTACGCAGGGCATTGTGGTGTTACAGGCAGGCATCAGCAAGGGGGAAGTGCATCATGGTTCATTCTTCTTACTGGTGGGACTTAAGAGTAGTTGCCTGTGTCTGTGATGCATCTGTAGAGGTCAGCATGGCTAGAGTGTTCAGAAGTCCCAGTTTCTGCAAGAAAATGAAGACCACTTATTTTAAAGACTTGATCATTTTGAAATTATTTTGTCAAACACAAGAAGAGAGTGTATTTTATATTTTAATCCTATGATGATTATTCCTCTATTTACTAAAGATGATGCTTTTAAAAATTACTGAGTTGTGAGTAAATATTTTAATAATGATATATAAAATCAGGAATTATCAGGTTAATGATATTTGTTAGTTATTGTGGACTGATCAAGTCAGCAATCTCCCAAATGAGTGGATGGTAAAGGTTAAATAAAAGACAAATGGAATAATGTCAGGGCTCCAGGAGGATCAAAACCCTCTCACAGAATTGGAGAGTCTCTCAGAGCTAAGACCAAGACCTTCTCTGGGTGTCCGAATTTATTTAGTTATCAGAACAAGGGAGGGGTGTACTCAAGAAGGGCAGGAACCGCTCAAGGACTTCTCCAAGTAAGGTATTAAATTAATCCACCTAGAAGTGAGATGCCTAAGGTTATAGTCATGATCAGTTGAGGTTGGAGCCAGGTGTCCTTAGCTATGACCTTGTTTTATCCTTTGAGGCTTCCTGGATTCACTCACCACTGCAGGCCTCAGGGACTCAGAGGTTCACTTACTGTGAGTGCACTGCCCCTCTCCAGACAAGGAGCCTGGGCCTTACACAGACTCACCAGTAAACATGGAAAGCCAGTTGGTTAATTTAAGTGTTTCTTAGAGCTACTTTGTAGTGTTCTCCATCAGGGAATTTAATTCTTTTATTAATCATTATCCTAACCATATAACAATTATAAGTATAAAAGATTGAAAGAAAAATCACTAAAGTATTGGTAATTGTTACCTTTGGGTAATTAAAATGCAGTTTTCTCAAGCCTTCAGGGTTTTTCAAATGCTCAAAATTTCCTTTTAAAATTTTATAGAAAAATAATGTTTATCAAAAAATATCCCCAGAGAAAAAGTAATTATGAAACAAAACCTCTCAATTTTTTTCAAGAAAAGGAAGCTGCTTGTTTCTGTATTTCTAGGAAGTAGCAGTAAACTAAACATTTTTCATGGTTTCATTGTTCACCAGTGTATCTTGTAGTAGCAATATTAATCTGAAATTTAGATTATATAATGGATTGTAGATAAGTTTCCTAACAGTACTGAATCTGTTGTCATTTGAAGAATTCATTTTTAAAAGATAATGAATTTGTTTTCTCTTCAGGTGCCTTCTGCCTGGATTAGTGGAAGTTCCCACCAGTGGAAAGGGCGACGTTAAGGTGAAGTGAAGTTTAAACAGGAAGGTCTTCTCTGGCTATAATAAAAGGAAGAAAGAATCTATTTCCCTGTTTTCTGTTGTTGCACACACATTGTTACTTCACTAAACAAAAAAGAACTGGTTAGAAATGCAAATTCCCAGACCCCAACCTGAACCTACTCCACCCTAATTTGGATACAACACAGTAGTCTGTCATCTAAAAAACAAAGTAACACTTCAAGAACACTTCTGTTTGCAAACAATTCGGTTTGCAAACAAAAGCACTGGGCAAAATTTTGCTTCTACTTGTAAACTCCGTATTGGTGACAAACAGGACCAAGGCCAATTCCCCACACAAACACAAATATAGCCATCTTCCCCCAAATCATAAAACAAATTAAGTTCCTAAACTGAGGTACCACTGTACTCAGATAAATTACTTTAGGCTAAAGCATGAGGACTGCAGATTGAGGAAAAACAACTGAAATTATTACAGGCAACAGAAGTAATGTAGATACTGTCACCCTCTAAACTCTATAGTTATTTTAAAACTATCTAAGAAATGTTTACCTGTGTACTGTCAGAAAAATTGTTATAGATTTTCCCTTGAGCCTTTTGAGGTATTGAATAAACTCCAGGCTCCAGGTTGTCCAAAACCACCACAAAAAATTTTTAGTATGATCAAAAGCCTTTATTGACCAAACTGAGTGGAACTTTAAACTGTCTTTATTTATCTAGCAAAGTATCTCTGAAGAAGGGACCTATAGAACGAAGGATAATCCTGGTATGATTTCCAAGATTTTAATCTGAAAGACTAGTTTGTATTTCTACCAACACTTTAAATAGAGTATCCAGGTTGAGCTTTAATTAAACAACTTTCATTTCAGTCTCTAGTCTGATTATAGCAAAGAAAAAACAAAACAAAACTAACTTCTTTACTACTGGTGCCCTAATATGTTCCACTATAGCCTACCTATACATTTTTAAATTGTCCATCTTCTTTTCCAACGATGAATAAAAAATATTTTGAGAGATAATGTAGGTTTTCCTGACAGTTACCATAGCAACAGAATTACTAAACTGATTTTTATAGATATTTCATTTATAATAAATTACTGATTTGTAAGGTCAGCAATTATGTGGACAATTTCTATGCAGAAAGTCTCTTCCTGTGATTTTCTATATTACTTCACTAAACAAAGAAGAGCTCTTCAGAATCTTTTTGTTAAAAAAATTTCCATAATTGAGGTAGAAGTTAATTATTAAATAATATAAACAAAATATTTCCCTAGATGACCAATGGGTGATTTTTTAACCACATTTAGTTTTTTGAAAATTCTTGAATAAACGGAGATCCTTTGAAATGGCTCCAGGGGCTTGTGTCTGTCTTCTTTTCTATCTCCCATTCAATAATGACCAAGGGATGGTCACTCACTGATCAAGTAATTTGTGTCAATTTAACTCTAACTCTTCACTCACTGTGCTTCCCCCAAATTTTCCAGCAATATTTTTCTCCTAATTTCTCCCTATAAGAAAGTTCTAGGTTACTGAGAATTGTCCCCTCACCACAAAGCAATTCTCCATGTTGCCCCTTAGTAATCATGCTCTCCCTTACCTCTAGTCCTCTACCACCAATAATCTGATTTTATGAATTTAAGAATGTTTTGTGTTATGTAGAGTATGTAATTTTTAGAGGTTTTTTTCAATCGACATAATGCTGTAGAATTTCATGCACACATGTTTTAGTCCATCAATTCTTAACTCTACAGAGGTTTAAATATTATTTATCATTTGAAATGATTTTAAACATAAAAGGTTGCAATTATAGTACAAAATATTTTCTCTAAATCATTTGAAAGTTATTTATATTTTGCCTAATATCCAATCACTTTAGGGTGTATATTCTACAAAAAACCATTTTCTTACAAAAACCTCAATATAACCACCAAAATCAGGAAACTATACTGTATTACTGCTAGTTAAATTGCACATCCCATCTAAATTTTGTCAATCTTCTCAATAATGTTCATTTTTTTAGAAAAGGAATTCAATCTAAACAGAACCAGGCACAGTGCCCAAGATATAATACAAAACAGAGATGGACTTCTCCAAAAATTAATAAGAATGAAAAAAATCAGCACCTTAAACCAAGCATAGGACTGTTCCAAGTACAGGGCCTGTGCCTCGAGCAGTTCAAACGCCCACAAATCAGCTCTGAACCTGAGAGACACTGCATTTAGACACTCGGTATCTCTAATCTCCTTTAACCTCCTTTCTCTGCCTTGTCTTTCTTCTCATGCCCTTGACACTTCTGAAGATTCTAAGTCAGTTATTTAGAAAATGTTTTTCATTTTGGGCTTATCTGATGTCTTCTCTGATTAAATGGCTTTGGCAGGAATATCACAGAACTAACATTGTGTGATTGCATCTTATCAGGTGATAAATGATTTGATTTGTTCCATTTTGATGATGTCAATTTTGAACCTTTGATTAAAGTGTTGTCTGCTAGTTTTCACCTTGATAAAGTTACTTTTTCCCAAATTAAGTCAGGAAGTGCAATATGATAAGATACTTTTAGACTCTGTAAACGCTGTTTCCCATCAAATTAATTGTACATTAGTGTTTTCCTGATCAGTGAAATGTTATTCTGATGAATGCAATAGGGTGATTTTCTTCAAATTTCATAATTTCTTTTATTGTATTAATTGACAAATTATATATATATATATATTGGGCAAAACATTTCAAATGCACTTAATAGTTTAAAATCTGTTAATATAATATTTTATTTATACACTAGTTATTATTTATCTGGCTAATGAGTCCATTCAAAATGGATTTGTGAGTGTTTGAGCCCTTTTGATATATCTCCCAAATTATTTCAGCACTTTCATATTATCAAGTACAACATGATGTTTGTGGTTCACATTACATCTTCCCTTCTTTTATCCTAAAATTGTCCATTAATCCAAGCAGCTATATTTATTTTCAAACAAAAGTGGCACTTAGAAAGCAAAACATGGGGCTACATAGTCTCACTACTATGTGTATGTTAGTTCTCCAAAGGCTTTTCAGTGAATGCAGCAAGCAAGCACACACACACACACACACACGCACACACGCACACACACTTTTCTATATTACTAAAAATTGTATGCCTGCATAAATACCTCTGATTCCAATGCAATAACAATGCTGGAAGTTTTGTTCCAGGTTCCTTTCATTTTTAAAGCCCTTATCAAACCACGGAAAACCTGGATTTTGTAACCCTTAACATACTTATTTAATGAAACCCCAACGCATGTAATCAATTTTTCCCTTCTTCCCCACTTAGGTGGATGCTATTGTCGTGAAACATGCCTTGACACACCCACAAATACACTGCCCCATGTGGATGCCATCTGTGCTGTAAATGGCGGCCCATGGCCATTTCACAAGAGGGATCCTCTTTGCTCACCTGGGTTCCTGATACTTCACACAGAGCTGCTGGCATTTCTTCATACTCCTTATCTGATGTCTCCCTCACACTTTCTGAGTATGACTATCCAGAGACTGGAACAGTCTCATTTACTCAGGATTTTACATTTTACCAAACTATGTATAACCTTCACACCTTACTCTCAGTGCATCTTCCAATGGTGGATGGATGCCACCCCCACTCCATCTTCTGTAAAATGGACATATGTCCTCTGCATCCTACTGCACAGGCCCACTTCCCCTGTCTTCTTTCCAGCATTCACTCCTACCTCGCCTATATTTCACTTAATATCTTTTAGGTTAAATATATATGAAATAAGAGAAAATGAGATAGAGACTTATTAATTGCTGTTTAAAAGTGACAACTAAGTCCTTTATAACTGGCAGGAAGTTTGCCAGAGTATAAAAAATTTTTATATAAATATTTCATAATAAAGAAATAGATTTTAAATTATTTCAGAAAATAGAATGCTTCTTTAGATACATACGAGCCAGTGAAGGTGGTTATTCGAAAAATTGCTCCTCCCCAAAGATGCCACATCATCTTTTCCAAATCTGTACACATATTATCCTATCTGGCAAAATGGATTTTGAAGATATGATTAAGATTAAGGACTCTGAGATGGAAGGCCATTTTGGATCATCTCAGCGGGCAAGATCTAATCCCTGCTGTCTGAGTCCTTGAAAGTGGAGCACTTGCCAGGTGGGGTGGCTCACACCTGTAATCCCAGCCCTCGAAAAGCTAAGGCGGGAGGATCGCTGCAAGTTTGAGGCCAGCCTCAACTATATAGTGAATTCAAGGCTAGCCTGAACTACATAGTGAGACCCTGCCTCTCCCCAAGAAAGGAGAAAAGAAAGAAAAGAATGGAGAGAACTTTTCCTGGCTGTGGTCAGAAAGACATGCAATTGATGAATGGCCAGGGGGATGGCTCTGAAGATAAAGATAGGAACCACAAGCTAAGGAATGTGGATGTACTCCAGGGGTTAAACATTAAAGGAAACTGATCCTTGCCTAGAACCCTTAGAAAAGAATAAAGCCCTACCAGTGAGTGCTGAATTGGACTTTTGACATGAATGGTAGTAAGAAAATAAGTTTGTATTTTCATAAAAAAGATTGGAAAAAATATATATGCTCAAGTGACTCTACAGGTGCTACAAGCTTAAAGATAAATTACATTTTACGCTCTTCTTTGGTGAGAACAGAATTTTCTCCTTCTAGCTCTTCACCTAAAGTCTAAAGATTAAAGAAAAACACTCCAAATTTTATGTTCCTTCTTTTTATTTTAAATATTGAAACATTAATGGCACTTTAACTTTTTTTTTTTATATACTTGGGAGTTGAACTCAGGACCTTGTGCTTGCCAGGCAGGCTATTGTGCTACTGAGCTGCATTTCTGGCCGCAAAGCAATTTTCCTCATGTTTGCTTTTTTTTTTTTTTTTTTTTTTTTTTGTATCGGGAATCAAACTGAGGACCTTGTGCTTGTTAGGCAGGCACTTGTGCCACTGAGCTCCATCCTTAGCCCGATACTTTTAAAAATGAAAGAGAGCTATAACCCTAGCATGATAGAATCATTCCTATAAAATAACTTATTCCATCCCTT